CATCCGGAAGTTGCGTAGCCACTCTTGGTCATCCCAGAGCTGCATAACGAGCCGGTCCCACCAGTCAGAGCTGGTGTCAAGCCTCTAAAAACGCCTGTCCACAAAGAAGTTTGGAGGCAAGGGCAGTGGGGCTGCATGACAGACGATCCCTTAGTACCTCTGGTCTGGGTCCAGATGGGGAAGTAGCCTCATGACTGTCATGCAGATGCAGCAACACTTGCAATATGATGGTGTGGGGCCATCGCCTGCCCAGGGGCAGCTCTGGCTCCATGCCAAAAAAACGGGTCTAAAACAGAAAAACCTCCACAGAAAAAAGCTGCTGGGGTGTCCCAGGAAGCTGAGCACTCCAAACCAGCACTGCAATGCTTTGCTTACCTCCTAGAGGGACAGCAAAGGCAGCTGCAGGAGCAGAGCAACGGGTGTTCAGGAGTGTTCCTTTAACCACGCGTCTCTGCAAAGGGCAGGCAGCAGCACCCGGAAGGAAATGCTGCCCCCATGCCCTGGCAGAAGCAGTTCCGGGTGGCTTTGAATTTCGAAAGAGCGTCCAGCAGTCAGGATGCTCTTTTTCGAAAAAGCGGATCGATTTTCCGATCCGCGTATTGTAGTCTAGACGTGCTCTTTCGAAAGAGGCTTGCAGTCTAGACATAGCCTTAGTGTACATTAGTGGAGCTGTCAATTGGAATGCTGGTTTTGCAGTGTTGCACCCGAACCATAACTGAGAACAAAGAAAGACATAGGTCACTATTACCATGACTATACGTACAGCACTATTATGCTCTAGCAGGAATTAGAAAACACATGGGCAGTGTCTAGACTACATCCCTTTTCTGTAAAAGGGATGCAGATTAGACACATTGCAATTGCAAATGAAGCGAGGATTTAAATCCCCCCCGCTTCATTTGCATTATCATGGCTGCAGCTTTTTTCCAGCTTGGAGCTTTGCCGGAAAAAAGCGCCAGTCTAGACGTGGATCTTTTGGAAAATAAAGCCTAAAAAAGCGGCAGCCATGTTTATGCAAATGAAGCGGGGGGGATTTAAATCCCCACTTCATTTGCAATTGTGATGTGTCTAATTTGCATCCCTTTTACGGAAAAGGGATGTAGTCTAGACACAGCCATGCAGAAGCATCCTCCAGAAAGCTTCCTTCCCTTTGAAAGTTCTTACTGACTTTCATGTATTTTTTATGATTTCCGACTATTCTCAATGGGCCAGATCCTCAACTGGTGGTGCAAATTGGTATTGACTGCAATACATGTTGTGTGTCCATACTCTGATTTAATGCTTTATTATTTGCACAATCAAAAATCCCACTGAGGTCAAGCAGTGTGGGATTGGAACAATATATAAAACCAGCTATTTTAGGATGATTGACTGTTTCCACTTTATCTGGAATGGTTGCCTTGAAGCAATAAAATTGCTCAGGGCCTGTTTCTCAGTTTTGCTAAGGGTGCTTTATACTGCTCCGGTAATGTGCAGGGTCCTTAAAGTGAATGTACATGTCATTTACACCTGGCACTTTGTAAACAGGCCTAGCATAACTAAGAACACAGGCATGTACATGGAATTACTTACACAGGCCTTGTTTGTGTGAAATCTTCACTTTCTGTCAATAAGAATATTGGCCAGACTCTGACTGGGTCCTGCCCATAAGCTGGAAAACCAGCTGAAATAACTGCTCAGTGTCTGCAATGCATGGCAGATGTTCACCACGATCAAGATTCCCTGGATAAGTTGCAAGTGCTGCATGCCATGCATCTTAGAGGGAGGTAACAGAAGGGCTTGTCCAAAGGATCATGGTCTATCAATTGATATGAATATGTCCCCTGACCTGGCAATAGATCATTACCTAGCTATGCCTCACCTTGTGATGATTATCCCTTACTCTCGGGGCACATCTACACATCAGGGCAAAAGTTGAATTAAGCTATGCAACTTCAGCTATGTTAATTGCATAGCGGAAGCTGAAGTACCTTAACTTGGCTTTTGGCACAGTCTACACAGAAGGAAATCGAAGGAAGAGCACTCTTCCTTCGACTTCCCTTATTCCTTGTGAAATGAGGGTTATAGGACTCAGAATGGAAAGTCCTCCAGTTCATCATTATTTCGAAAGATTGGCTTGCTGTGTTATTCCGAAATAATGCTGCAGTGTAGACATACCCTCAATGAGCCCGATTCTAGGTTACTATTTACTGGCTGCTTTGCGCTGGGATAAAGTAGCCCTTTAGGGCCCCAGGAATATCACTCTAATCCATTTAAAATGAGTGGAAGCTACAGATCCTCAGCATCTGTTAGGAACTGACCCCTTATCAGCAAAGGCATTTTTTAACTCTGAAGCAGTAACAAACAAAGCAAGACCTGTTGGATTCCTTTCACTGGAGCCATTTTCAAACAACTCTCTTAGCTGTTTTGTGTGTATTTTAAACTCAAGATGTGAAGAGCTCCCACTTGAAAGGTCCGTCAATTCTCAGAACCCTTGGGCCTCCTGAAGCGCTGAAAGCTTTAAACCAGTGTTTTAAAAACAGAAAACATAGGGGTGAATTTTTAAAATTCTTCTTAAACCCAAGAGCTGAGTGACATAAATGCTGCCAGCCTGGGACCATAAGTGCCCATTGACAATAAAGTGAATTTTACCAGGATTATAAAATCTCAATGTGGATGCTTATATAGAAACACCAAAAGGCTCTTTAATTAACATAGTGCTATGGGGCAATGCTATAATAATACTGCTTCTGCAGTCTCGCTTGTAACCTGCTCTACTAATAAGATGTACAGAGCCTAGGGGAGATGATTTGATGCGGTACATTGAATTTTATATGATAACATGCTCTAAAAACATGTCATTATTCCTAGTTTATACTAATGCCCCTGGCTCTTCCCTCTTCATAATAAAATCTTTTCTATTTTTGCAGTATCTTTCATCTCTGAATCTCAGAGGGCTAGATTGTAGCTAGCCCTTACATGGCAATGCAGGAGGTGGGGTGAAAGAATAACAATTCCCTCTGCTTCTTGCACAACCTGAATAAGAGCTGGTCACAGACACAGCTCCTGGGTTCAGAGGAGTGAGAAAGATTGTGCTCTGTAGCAGTATAAAGGCCCTGCAAGCATAGAAAGGGTTAACAGGTCCAGACTGGTTCCCTGGCTGACAGGATGAGAGTATGAAAGCAAGGGGAAGTGAGCCCGAAGGAGAAGGGTTTATCAACTCTTTCCTAAGGGAGGGAAAGGAAGGCCTCTTGGAATTAACTAGTGTGTTTCTGGGTTTTTTTAAAATGATGGTTTGGTAGATAATGAGCAAGCCATGAAGAAAGGGCTTTAACAGGACGAAGACTTGGAGCTTTATTTCTATTTTCTAGCTGGTGCCTCCCTTTGGCACTGCCTCTGGAAGATATTTAAGCACCTGACTTCTGTCTCTGCCTATTCTAAAAAGCACTTGATTTCCATGGGATTTAAGTATGTGCTTAAAATCTTTCTTGCATAGGAATACCCTCTGGAAGTGGGGCTTTTGGAAAGCATAACAGTCAGAGAGGGGAGAGGAACAGGTGGAGGCCACACCTCTGCCTCCATACACACTGGTGAACTGAGCTGCTTGGATATACAGGAATATGCAGTTCTGATTTTTAGATGTGGGCCATCTGTACTGTCTCCTCTCTAATATAGTGCTGCTCAATCTACTTTCTTGGGAGGCGAGTCCAGGAAAAAGACAGGCAGAAAAAAGGGATTTATTTCTCACCGATTTAGAAGCAGAATCGTATATTGAGGCAGAGTAGACATCACTGAATATTCAACAGATGATTCTCAGCTTTTTGCAAATTCCTGGGTGCAAATGAGTCATGACCCATAAAGAACAATTAAACAGGTTGCGCTGTCCCTGTGTTTAAAATATACTTCCAAAATGTGCCATGTGTTTTTGGGGCAGTCACAGTATGTCTTGGTGTGGAAAGCTCTTCCCCCTATCTTATCCTATCCTACCCAGAAGTCTGGCATCAGAGGGAGCCTATTAATTTTTCTATTGCTCCATGCAGGAATTAATAGTTTAAGAAACTCTGATTTTAACTTTTCGTGTCACTGTCTTCAATGAGGAAAAAATAACCTCACAGCAAATCACTTGGGAGAATTTGCTGAAATTAGAACAGAAAAATTAAAAAAAACACAAAAAACTCCAGTCATCTAAAGAAGCGGGCTGTGCCCACGAAAGCTCATGATACCATCTATATGTTTTGTTAGTCTATAAAGTGCTACAAAAAAAATAAAACTAGTGCACTTTATGATCCTATTACTATAGCACCACCTTGTGATCAGCAGCACAACTGCACCCTTAATCAGTCTGAAAAATCCCATCCATGAACCACCTAACAGTGAAAACACATAATAGCTATATGCAGAGTAGTTAAAGCCCTCTTCTTCGCAAACATACACACACTTTTGTTCTTCAGCCACCGACTTTGCTGTTCATGCAATGGAGTGCTATCAAATTATCTCCCAACCAAGCAAGTAGTTTTATGAACACAGTTAATTTTCATGACTATTGAGACCATCAGTATGTTGGCTTCAGAGGATGACACAGTAAAAGATTGTTTTTTTCCATTGCTATAAAAGTTCCCAGAAATTCTAAGCTTGATTCAGAAGCCACTGGCTGTTTTATGCTGCACATGAGGCTGGATCATCATAATGTCCCTTCTAGACTTAGAAGCTATGAAAATGGGTGACAATATTAAGCCAGAGTGAGCGTGTAATTACTTTTTGCAGGCAGAAAATTATTGATGACACTAAGAGCACCCACTCATACTGGGAGTTTAATTACTTTTACCTTGCATGTCAATTATTTAGTCATCTATACTTTGCTTAACTATATTCTGAAATACCCTCTGATACACCAAATCTCCATCCATGTCTTCCTCCCGTTTCTTGAAAAAATCAGTAATAATTGCATTCATGTTGAAATCACTTGAAATCCAAAAGGTCTGATTTCCAATGAAAAACCTGTCAGAAGAGAATGTTGTTTAAAAAAAAAATGAAAGAGATTGCCTGTAACTTGCCAAGCCTGTGAATGAAATTCCAGCAGTAGGTTCTGCAATTTCTCTACCTAATGTTGATGTAGAGGTGATGACAGGAATGGATTCTCATTTACATTGTTCTAATTGCATAGAGGGGCTGTAAACTGGGTGTAAAGATAATGCTAGGAAAGTGTAAATGGGCTGTAGTGTAAATGAGTACAGTAAATGAGGCCTTTTTAATTCATAGCTCAATGTATTCAGATATCACCACTGTAACCCAACACAGCTATAATTGCTCAGGAGACTGAGAGAAAGGTGGTGAAAAGTAGAACCAGAAGAATAATTGATTTTTATACTTGCTGGTTGTTCCAAAAATTTAAATAAATCATTTGGGTTGACCTGAAAATGTTTTTCAAAATTTCAGCAACTGCATAATTAAAAAATTGCTTTGAAACAAATCTCTCATGTTTTGAGTTTAACCTTCCAAAAACCCCTGAATTTCAGAATAAAAAGTTGTTTTGAATTGAGGAACAATGACATTTGTTTAAAAAAATGTCCAAACATTTTGATTTTTTTTTTCAGATTTATTTTCATCTTAATCTAGTGACTTCAGCATGAATTTGTGAAATGTTTCCTGCAATTTTTGAGGAATAAAACTTTCAGCCAGAAAGTTCACCTAGTGGTGATTTTCTTAGTAGTCTGTTATTAATGGCTGTCCATCGATATCTTTTTATTAAAAAAAAAATTCCCAAAGTATACTCCACAATTTAATATTAGGTTCAAAAACTCAAATTGTATCAAATGTCACATTCTCCATGTATTTTAAACATTTTCAATAATATTTCAGCTGCTTTATATTTCCCCTTATTAATATCTATTTATATACCATATAAATAGTAGATGAATCTAGTATGTTTACCTTTATAGCATCAACAGATCTCAAAGCATGTCAACTGTAAAATAAAATCTACTCTGATACATTATACTATATTGCGTGAGATACTTACCAGTGGCACAATTAGAATACACTTTTTAAGTTGTCATGAGATAAGAGGGAAGGTCCTTTCATGGACTGATAACTGGTTAAAAGACAGGAAACAAAGGGTAGGAATAAATGGTCAGTTTTCCAAGTGGAGAGGGATAACTATTGGGGCCCCCCAAAGATGTGTCCTGGGACCCATCCTATTCAACTTATTTATAAATGATCTAGAGAAAGGGGTAAACAGCGAGGTGATAAAATTTGCAGATGATACCAAACTGCTCAAGATAGTAAAGACCAAAGCAGACCGTGAAGAGCTTAAAAAAAAATCTCACCAAGCTAAGCGATTGGGCAACAAAATGGAAAATGAAAGTTAATGTTGATAAATGTAAAGTAATGCACATTGGAAAAAATAATCCCAACTATACGTACAATATAATGGGGACTAATTTGGCTGCAACTAGTCAAGAGAGAGATCTTGGAGTCATTGTGGATAGTTCTCTGAAAACATCTACTCTGCGCAGCGTCAGTCAAAAAAGCAAATAGAATGTTAGGAATCATTAAAAAAAGGGGATAGAGAATAAAACAGAAAATATCATATTGCCTCTGTATAAAACCATGGTACACCTACATCTTGAATACTGCGTACAGATATGGTCGCCTCATCTCAAAAAAAGATATATTGGCATTGGAAAAGGTTCAGAAAAGAGCAACAGAAATGATTAGGGGTTTGGAATGGGTCCCATATGAAGAGAGATTAAAAAGACTTGGGCTTTTGAGCTTAGAATAGGGGGTATGTCTACACTGCCACCCTAGTTCAAATAGGGTTGCTAATGTAGGCATTCGAAGTTGCAAATGAAGCCTGGGATTTAAATATCCCGGGCTTCATTTGCATCTTGCCGGGCGCCACCATTTTTAAATCCCCGTTAGTGCGGACTCCGTTCCACGAGGAGTAACGGTAGTTCGAATTAGAGAGCCTAGTTCGAACTACCTACTCCGTGCCGCATGTAGCCGTGGGCACGGAGTCCGCACTAATGGGGATTTAAAAATGGCAGCGCCCGGCAAGATGCAAATGAAGCCTGGGATATTTAAATCCCGGGCTTCATTTGCAATTTCAAATGCCTACATTAGCCACCCTAGTTCGAACTAGGGTGGCAGTGTAGACATACCCAGGGAGACTAAAGGGGGATATGATAGAGGTCTATAAAATTGTGACTGGTGTGGAAAAAGTGAATAAGGAACAGTTATTTACTTATTCCCACAATAAAAGAACTAGGGGTCACCAAATGAAATTAATAGGCAGCAGGTTTAAAACAAACAAAAGGAAACTTTTCTTCATTCAGAGCACAGTCAACCTGTGGAATTCCTTCCAGGGGATGTGGTGAAGGCTAGAACTTTAACAGGGTTCAAAAAAGAGCTAGATAGATTCATAGAGGTTAGGTCCATCAATGGCTATTAGCCAGGATAGGTAGGAATGGTATCCCTAGCCTCTGTTTCTCTGGAGGTGGGTGACAGGGGAGGTGGTATGTGGATTACCTGTTGTGATCCCTACCTCTGGAGCATCTGGCACTGGTCACTGTCAGCAGACAGGATACTGGGCTAGATGGAGCTTTGGTCTGACTCAGTATGGCCATTCTTATGTACACTTTACACAGTGGTCAACTTACTCACTATGGGACCCATTTACATTGGGCTCCTGACCCATTTCCTAACACATATTGAAAGGACTTGATTAGCCTACCCAAGTCAGTGTGGATGGGACTGCACTATGATAAATGCATTCTAACCTGAAAGCATGCTCCAGGCTCAGTGCCATAGCTAGCATCTAAAAATCTTTGCAGAACCCCCCCTCCCAAAATACCTAGTCCTGTGTGCATCAGTGTACAAAAATGTATTTCTCCTCCACCTCTAGTGGCAGGGTGGTCCAATGGGTGGATTGAGACTCAGGAACACAAGGTTCTATTTCCTGTTCTGTCACTGGACAACATGGTGGTGTTAGGCCAAGTCACTGTCTCGGTTTGTCCCCCCCCCAAAAAAATGGGGATAATGATATGAAGGTCCTTTGGAAAGCACTTTGATCTGTTAAGGGAAAATGCTATGTAACAGCAGGGTGTTAATACTATTGCTGGGTTACATCTCACTACAAATTAACACCTCCATACATACAAAATGAAACCTCCCTGGTAGGAATAAGAATCAAGGGTATTAGGTCTGGAACACTCTCTCCCGGGACATAGCTCAGCCAATTGCTACACTTTCTCAAAAAAAAAGTTTGAAAACACTTCCTGAATTTGGTGGTCGTGAGGGAGCTGTCTGGGTTTTGGTTTTGTATAAACCATTGTATTGGGTAGTGTTTTTGCACTGTGATAACTGTAACAGTTCAGGTCTTAAATCCCTTTCCCCAGGGTGTTTAACAAGAAATCTAATCTTGCATGCAGTTGTGCTCCTTCACCTTTCATTCCAAAAGTCAGTTTTGCCATTCTGTCTTCATTGCCACCTTGTTGCCCCCTTTTCCTTACTGAAATGGTTTCTACCTTTGCCCACACACATCTCCACCAGGGGATCTGTTAGATAGTATTAAGAAGCAGAACATTCATTAATTAGCGTGATCTTCTCAGGAGCTTGAGATTATACTAACTTTAAGACTACTACAATGCAACAGTAGCACCCAATTTAAAAACAAAAGGAATTCACATGTTAATTCTCTTGAGGGGTGGGAGTGAGTGAAGAACATCTGGTCCTTCAACTACCAGCTCTAATTTGACAATATACTTATAATAGGAATTACTCTTAGGTAGTCAACTTATATCTGTGAATATCTGAAAGAAACATGCCCCAAGGATCTTCATCTCCTTGGGATTACTTAGCCATACTAAGCATGTCCAAAGAACTTTCACTGAAATAACGTTCCCATTCACCTACAAGCATCACCATTTCTTTTATATGACATAAATGAACAGATCCTCAGCTGGAGTCAATCAGTGTTAACTTCACTGGAAGAAAACTGATTCATACCAAGTGAAGGTTTGCTCTAAATTCTCCGCCCACAAAACAGGTGAACATCCCATTCCAAGTTTAAAGAGTTTTGCAAATCTGACAGATGTAGTTTTGAGAAGAGGGATCTATTTCAATGGGCATTATGCACTTGAGTAAGTTAGATGTCTATATACATCTGAGGCCCTGGGCCTTAGCTACAAACCTGTAATGCTGTTTCCACTGGCCTCCATTCAATCATGGAGAGTAATACAAAGTGCAAGCATGCTAGGAACACAAATGCATCAATTCCACCCCCAATTTCCAGTAGGGATGTGAATGATTAACCGGTAAACATCACCCTTACTGAGTGACACTTACTGGTGACGGTTAACCGGTGGACTGGAGCAGCCCCTGTCTGCAGCAGGTAGGGAAGCCTCCCCCGCCCACCCATTTAAGCCATTAACCAGTTAAACATAACATTTAACTGGTTAACCCATTGAAGGGATTTTGCATCACTAGTTTCCAGCACAGGGATTCCTACTAATTACAAATATGGCCCTGAAGGAAAGTTCTGCCAATCAAGTACAAAGCCAACTGTATCTGTCTAGACACTACATCCTTTCCCTGCCACGCTTTTCTTCCAAAATTCAATAAACATTTCATTGTTTCAGAGCACAGAAATATCTTTCCATCTCTTCTCTGGTAAGTTTGTTTAAAATGAGACATGCACTGGCTGTGCTATGTCAGGAAATCTCATTACAGGCCAGCATTCAAACAAATCCAGAAGGACAAAAGATTTTTCTAAATAAGTCTAAATTTATTCATTACCTAGTTAAAAAAAGTTTGGATTACAAGTGTATGGACAGTATAAAAAAAGTACAAAACAGGTTCCATAGATTTCTAATACATTAATACAAAGTGCATGACTACAGACAGTTCATCTTGCATTATACTACAGGGAAAGGAAGAGATGGGAGGGAGGAGGGGAAGCAGTCTATGGTTGAAGTCTAGCAATAAATAAATAAATACAGAAGTAGAGATGATCCACATTATAGCACATCCTACCACCAGTACTGCAGCCATAAGTATAGAAAAATCATTGACACCAACTCAAATGTAAGTTGGTGTGTAGATACGGATGGCTGCAACTCTTGCATGGGTCTTAAAGCAGCCATTCTAGTTATCCATTTGATTGGAGGTAAAGGTATACTACATAGTTTTATCCTCCCTTGAGAATTTAATGTATTAAAAAAAACCCACCACACACACAAGAGGGGGCACTAAAACAAATCTCCATTTTCCCCAACATCCCACTAAGAAGTTTTATTTAAAAGAGCAGAAAACAAAACCTTCCCCACAGCACTAACTTTCTGCTCTGATGGTGGGGGGGGGGGAGGGGGTATCTTTTTGTAGCTCCATTTTCATCCCCAGAAGGTCTGCCTTTCAGAAAGTGAGCTTGCATTGAAATCTAGCCTACAAACCAACCTTCAGCCTTCTCACCAGCCTCTAATTGTAAAGACAGAAACAGAAAGGGGGGGAGGTAGGGAACCCAAAACCAACCCTCAGTTTCTAGCAGCCCTTTGCAGAATAAACTCAAAGATAAAAGAAAATCCATTCCACATATTATGTAAGTTAAATCTTTCTAAGTGACCAGGAATCAACCAGGAGCTAAAACTACAGCTCATTCTTTGAGGAAGCTGTTTTTATCCTAAAGAAAAAGTTGGAGCATCAAGGAATGTCACAATCATTTGCACACAAGTTTTACCAGGAATCTACACAGGAAATGTTAACCCTTTGTTTTGCCAACAGAGCTGCCTCTATTTAGACTGGAGTAATTTTTAATACCACTTATAGAATTTACAGTATGTCCAGCATGCATGGAAATGTTGCTTAACGTAGGGCATGTCTACTCTGCAATGACAGGGTGTGACTGAAGCTCATGTAAGTACCCAACTAGCTTTGATCTAGCTAACACTGGTATCAATAGCAGCATAGCCATAGCAGGCGGTGGAAGGCTGCCCAGGATCCTGGCTAGGTACTCAACTGGACAGCCCACTATGGAGTCATTTTGCCACAGATTCACTGCTCTGGTACCTGAGCTAGCTGGATGAAAGCTTGCTCAGGTATCTCTCCATGACCTCCAATTGCACCCTGGGATTACAGCATAAACATGCATAAAGTTCACAAGACCTGAAGAGTACCAGTTCCAGAACAGGAATCAGAAACCCACTGAATTTCATGCTTGGATTGTTGTGTTTCAATTCCTTGGACAGAAGGCTCCCCCACCACCCACCCACTCTATGGTTTTGGTCCTGTGTCATGTCGAAAGCCAGCAAGTGGGTCTAGAAATGGCACAAAACTTGAGACCATCCTGCAAGAATTCAACAAATAGAACCCTGAATGCACACCTAACCTGGACCCCAGGCAGCCTCCATGGTCATCTCTCAACTTAAATCAACCTGACAATCAATAATGCACAAGCCCTAGGGTTTGCTAATGTGGGATGCCATTGATTGGGTTACTGGTCACTTGTATTCATTTCTGAGTGAAGGGAGAACTAGGAGGTTATATACAGATGTCTAGACAGTGTGTGCACCTTTTCCCTCTGCTGTTCTTGAATATTTAAGATTTAGTTCTCTCGTGCACTAACATTGCTCAGACTGGTTTCTGCTACTGGTTTCTGCAACTATCTGGCCTTGTCATACAGGAATGAAGAAACTATTTGTCCTTATTCAACCGTCAGTAGTACAGGTTTAGCATACCAGACCTTTTAAAAAAAATCATGAACATTAAAATATTGTGAAGGAGTTAAAGACTTCTATGCACTAAGTCCATGTCATGGAATCACACATATCAAATGATACATTTTCTCTGGAAGGGAAGGGGAAAATCAACTTAGAACATGCCTGACACAGCCACTTCTTCTCTCAGTACAGAAACATTAAACTACATACACTTTATTTACAACAAACCCACCCTCAAAAGTTCATTCATGGAAGGGATGGGTAA